CTTTAATTGATTTTTCCGTACATTTCTGCCATATGTACATAAACTGACAGTCACCACTGATAAGCTACTACTACATATTGTAGAAACTTAATTTTCTGTAAAGTTGCTTTGCAACGATTTGTATTGTAAAAAGCGCTATACAAATAACCTTGAATTTAAAAAAAATTAATAATTGAATAAAAAATAAAACTGGATTTGAATAATACATCTAACAGTACAGTACACTGTAAAATATTTTAGAAACGTAATTTTCTGTAAAGTTGCTTTGCAACGATTTGTATTGTAAAAAGCACTATACAAATAACCTTGAATTAAAAAAAAAATGTATTAATTGAATAAAAAATAAAACTGGATTTGAATAATACATCTAACAGTACAGTACACTGTAAAATATTTTAGAAACGTAATTTTCTGTAAAGTTGCTTTGCAACGATTTGTATTGTAAAAAGCGCTATACAAATAACCTTGAATTTAAAAAAATTTAATAATTGAATAAAAAATAAAACTGGATTTGAATAATACATCTAACAGTACAGTACACTGTAAAATATTTTTGAACACTTGTGAATTTACTAGCAATTTCTGAGTAAAAACTTTGCCTACATCAGTTTTTTTCAGTGTAGTAGCCTAGTAAAGCGAAATGATGTAACGAAAGAAACTAAATATTTTACAAATATCTTAAACATGTATATTCTATTTTTTCACACTGTAAATTGGGTGTTTATACATACAATTATTATAATTGACTTTTAAATTATATGGTGGGGGCCCTTCCTATGAGAATGATCATATTTGGCTGTCCGTTGCAAGACAAAAAAACCCACTACAATTATTAAACGGAAGCTATAGTGTGTGCATTTATGTATTTATTACAACCTGGTTTCGGTAACTCTAGCTACGCGTTGATTAGGCCTGAAACAAAACACACAGCATTGCCTCTTGGGAGAGTTTTGAGGAAGCTAATTAACTTAAGATATAAGACGTTTGTCAAAGCAGTTCTGCGACGGCTATCGAGCTAAAACCCGTGAGCGGCGTTCGCTCGATTTTCAGGGAAAGCGTTCTCATTTGCACAGTATTACTGAGTAATGCTGGCTGATTAGACGGATCGAAAACAAGAATTTATCATGGTCTGCTGAACTGAGGATGATGAGTATCACACACTCGCTAGCACATCCTGCTATCCGAGCTACATCGCTCCCCTGGGTCCTCCTACCCCTGTACCCTCGTCTCCATGGCAACATGCCCTGCCTCACATTACCCAGAGAGAGTGGATGCTTACAACACTCCTCTCAGAGTCTGTGGTTCTTGTTGCTCCTGCTTTGAAACAAACCTACACTGGTGAGTGGTAGTTTCTTTGTGTGGTGGCAGGACTTGTTATCGTTCTGGTAACGCCGCCTTGTGTTCTTTAATTTAGCCCTGACAAAAATGCTGAGAGGATAATGAGGAGCGGATGAGTTTCTCCCTCATTTGCTCTGTTCATGTTTGCTACAGTTCAAATAATGGGTCAGCCCAATCCATATATCTCAAAACACTTGATTCTCTCGTTTCATAAACAGAATCATACAGCTAATAGTTAAGCTAATCAAGTTGTTGAACTTCTTTTCACGAATACAGCATGGTTAGTCTCTGAGGTACTTCCTGTGTAATTATTAGAACTATTATATCTCCATCTGCTGGCCAAACACTGTAAATACAAGACGTGGATCCACAAAACTATTTCATTCAATCATACACAGTATTTTGCCTCAAAACGGGGGAAAAACGATACAATTAACAAATGTAGCAATTAAGCACTTTTTAGTAATCCTAAACCATTCTCGGTAGCTAATGTGAAGGTCATAATCTCCTTGTTATAGGCCCCTACTACAAGCTACATTTATTAAAAAAAAAAAATCATATTGTGAAATATAATTTAAAATATAATTTATTCCTGTGATGGCAAATCTTAATTTTCAGCATCATTACTCCAGTCTTCAGTGTCACACGATTCTTCAGAAATCATTTTAATATGAAGTGGATGCTTACAACACTCCTCTCAGAGTCTGTGGTTCTTGTTGCTCCTGCTTTGGAACAAACCTACACTGGTGAGTGGTAGTTTCTTTGTGTGGTGGCAGGACTTGTTATCGTTCTGGTAACGCCGCCTTGTGTTCTTTAATTTAGCCCTGACAAAAATGCTGAGAGGATAATGAGGAGCGGATGAGTTTCTCCCTCATTTGCTCTGTTCATGTTTGCTACAGTTCAAATAATGGGTCAGCCCAATCCATATATCTCAAAACACTTGATTCTCTCGTTTCATAAACAGAATCATACAGCTAATAGTTAAGCTAATCAAGTTGTTGAACTTCTTTTCACGAATACAGCATGGTTAGTCTCTGAGGTACTTCCTGTGTAATTATTAGAACTATTATATCTCCATCTGCTGGCCAAACACTGTAAATACAAGACGTGGATCCACAAAACTATTTCATTCAATCATACACAGTATTTTGCCTCAAAACGGGGGAAAAACGATACAATTAACAAATGTAGCAATTAAGCACTTTTTAGTAATCCTAAACCATTCTCGGTAGCTAATGTGAAGGTCATAATCTCCTTGTTATAGGCCCCTACTACAAGCTACATTTATTAAAAAAAAAAAATCATATTGTGAAATATAATTTAAAATATAATTTATTCCTGTGATGGCAAATCTTAATTTTCAGCATCATTACTCCAGTCTTCAGTGTCACACGATTCTTCAGAAATCATTTTAATATGAATACACTAATATTGAGTGATCTATGACCTTTATATAGTGAGTGCCATTGTAAAGACTGATCCCTCACAGTCTCGTTTTTACCCATGTTAGACTTAATATGGCATCTAACCTGACTAAGGCCTGGTCCTAAAACAGGGCTGACAAAGCACTCTGCAATATATAAATTAATTCGACAACCATCAAATAATAATGAAAAATGTATTATTTCCCATGTAACTGTCGACAAGACAAGCATCATAGAATCAAAACACTGAAATGCATTTTCACATTTGAAATAGAATCTAGTATTTATTATTTAGACGCAGGGAGAAAGATTTCATTTCTTAGCTTTCATATATTTTTTTCTCTACTGCACAATTTGCATAATTTCATGACATCCTGTGGACAACCACAAAACCATAACATTAGATTTTTTTCTACTTTTTTTTTTTACACGAAGTGAAAAACAAGACTCATTTTACAAGCATTTTTACAGTCCGCATACAACTTCAGATGATGTGTTGAATTTTTATCTCTTTTTAAACTGAATCTGGAGGCAAAATATATCAACAAACATCTAACAAAACATGCAACATCTATGTAAAAACATAGAAACTCTTTGACAACCATTCAATTTGACAGGAAATGTTGTGTTGTCTTTTTTCCTTTTTTTTTTTAACCGTATCGTTTTCATTCAGAGAGATGTTGTTGATTTCGTCAAACAGGTTGGAATGGATTGATCAAACACATGATTTTAAACAGATCCAGATATTACTTTCTTACACAGTTAGACAAATACAATATGTACAGACAGAGTTTGACCTTGATCACAATCACATGCTCAACGTCAGACCAAATAAATATTCAGACCTCTTCTTGTAGAAAATATCCTATATATTTACAAAATCAAAAAAATAACCAAAATCACATTCACACGGTTTACGGCAACTGAATTCTGAATTGAAAGAATTGAACTGAATTGAAAAAAAAAAAAAAATCACACTTTGAAAGGTGTGATGAACTAAATAAAACTGATGACACTTGTTACAGGTTTTAATTGGCCATCATAATTATGCACCAACATAAAATATGCATTATTATGTTTCACATCTACACAGATTATTCTTTTTTCCTTTACAAAAAAAATAAATAATAATTTTTCTGGTCAGCATATATATACATTTTTTGTCATTTTTTACGATGAAATTTAGAAACCTATGAAAACAATAACGTAAAGTGCATATGATTAATATGTACTGTGCCATAAATAAAAATAAACATTATACAATATTCATATAATTAATTTCTTCTTTTTTTTTCTTTAACAGATATACATATATTCAGACACTCGCTTGATGTCGCATGTTAAGGTTTATGCATTCAAAGAACATAATCCATGTTGCATAGATTTACCCAAACAGAACCAGTGGATTTGGTTAAAACATCAGGTTGGCACACGATAGTTCATCTTACTACGACAGCAACCTTATATTCAGGTACATCTGTGCACCACCTGTGCAAGATGCAGATTAAATCATATTGAAACATTAGTGTACATTTTATTAGCCAGGTTACAAAACAATCTGTTTCCATGTGTGAAATATGTCCACTGATATTGATAATGGAAACACTGACTGTAAAAGTACTGTCTGGTGTTGAGATCCTAGACAGACAAAAACACATGCCTTTATCCATCAGTGGCACATACTAGTGTAGCTATGCACTGATATGGTGCAGGTTAAAGAGGCAGTGATCTAAACCGACATGAACAGATGAACTTTACAGCAGAAAAACAATATTAAAAGTGCACCACCATGGAACAGTGACACGTGACGCAGGACAGACACCTTGCACCATCAAAATAAACAACAAACATTACATCAGGATTTCAATTGAGCCAATTGAGCCAGAACCCTCATATAAAAGCCAAGGAGGACTCAAATGTACGTTAATTATTACCATTATCTTTTTTTTTTTTGTCATTGCATATTTGGATTGCACATACAACTTGGTCACAAAACAGCGACTATTGATGACAACATCTGACCACTAACATGACATTTACTTCAAGATGCTGTTCATAAAGCAAACACACATCGTGGACACGTACAATCATACTTCTAGACAGAAAACAGATGCCCTTTAACCTCAGAGAACCAAATTTGAGGGCTCGAGACACTAAAAACAAAGCACGCCCTCATTTAGCATCCAACAAATAGCCATTCTTGAAATAATCAAGAGGACTTCGTGAAAACCAGATCATCTCGACTTGATTGATGGATCCATGTCCAATAGCTGATGTCAGTCACAACCTGAAGTTTCAACATTCCCTAAACATTGAAGACGACACTCATGACATTATAAACGGAGGAATCTCGAACTGTGCACAGTTGGATGTTGCATTCAATAAGGGGAATCCATTATATTTACGATTGTCTTTCTTACAGTATAACCTCTATACAATGCATAACATAGTCTGATATGGTCATTATACATCACATGATTGTGTCAAGAACTACGTCTGTCTCCTTGTGAACAATGTTTTTTGCAAAAAAAAATTTGGACATGTGATAGCTGAAATTACATTGAAATGTAATAATTGGTCGTAATAATTGGCTCATGCCTAAGATATTTTAGATGTAGAATGTAGTTGCAGAAATGACTCCCTCAAATAGACAATAGCAGTGCTCTGGGAGTGGAAATAGCCTCAAATGGCCTCGAACTCTTCGTCACAGTATTTCATTCAACTGATTTTCTCTTTTCATGATCCATCAGTCATTCCAGATCCACAAACCCACCTTTTCCTGTTTTATTTCTCTTTTTTGGAGGGCACCGATGGGAGATGGATGGCACGTGATTACGGCTGCGTTTGACTGGTTGTGGCCACTAGCTTGTGCCAGCTGACGGCCCGCTTACGCATGTCCACTTTGTCCAGCCAGATGTAGGCCTCGCCAATCAGGGTCTTCTTCATAAACTTCCCTCCATTTGACACCAGGAACAGCTGTGAAGAGGAAGGGGATAAAAGACAGGAGAAATGGTAAACAAAAAGTCAGAGGAAATCATTTAAAGGGGTGGTTGATTGCGATTTCACTTTTTTAACGTTAGTTAATGTGTAATGTTGCTGTTTGAGAATAAACAATATCTGCAAAGTTACGAAGCTGAAAGTTCAATGCAAACGGAGATTTCGTCTTTTAAAATTCTGGCAGTTTAATGCCTACAAAAACGGCTGGTAGGGACTACAACGAGTTACTTCCCGGGTTTGTAGCCTATTTCTGAGGGTGGGGCTTCATAAAAGCAGAAAATGATCAGCGTGTTTCTCGGAGAAGGGACAGAGCGGTGTGGAATAAAGGTAAATTATGTGAAAAATAAGGCATTTTTTTTTAAACGAAGCATTAACACGTTAGACTGCACCCCATAAACACAATTAAGCCTAGAAAAAAAAACAGTGAACCACCCCTTTAAATAATATAATACATACATTATCGTTTAAAAGTTTGGGGTCAGTAAGATTATTTAATTAATACATATTTGAAATGAATGTTTTTATTTAGTGACGGTAAAGATTTTTTACATTATAATGGAAAAAATATTTCTATTTCAAATAAATGCTTTCTATTCATCAAAAAGAATCTTGAAAAGAATGTATCACGCTTTTCACAAAAATATTAAGCAGCACAACTCTTTTCAAACTTGATAATAAAAAGAAATGTTTTTGAGCATCAAATCAGTATATTAGAATGATTTCTGAAGGATCATGTGACACTGAACACTGGAGTAATCATGCTGAAAATCCAGCTTTGCATCACAGGAATAAATTGCATTTTAAAATATATTAAAAAGAAAAAAAAAAGTTATTTTAAATTGTAATAACATTTCACAATATTCATGTTTTTACTGTATTTTTGATCAAATAAATGCAGCCTTAATGTGCAGAAAATACTTCTTTCAAAAACATCTTACCGACCCCAAATTTTGAATGGCACACACACACACACACACACACACACACACACATTATATGAAGTCATTATTTGAACTTACTCTCTG